CTTTAAGGGTACTGGTTTTGGTACTAGTATCATAAAATTTTAAACGATACCTAACCCTAATGGGCACTATTGTCCTACACAATCCACATACACAATCCTCAGCTGAAAAATCTCCCCCATCAAAATGCTGTTTCCTCCTGTTTGAGGAATGTTTGCAAAAGACTACAATGTACAGAAACACTGTTTCTAAATGTGAGCACAGCTAGGTAGGACCTAACTATTCAATGTTTGTACTGAGGGGTGGGAGAGTGTTTGAAGGGAAGGTGAGGAAGAAGGAAAATAGGAAGTGATATGTTTTTAATCAAGGATTTTAGCAAGTCATTGCTTTGACAGTGACCTTTAATGTTCTGCCCTGGTAGACATCGGAGTGATGCACGCACTCAAAACTCTCGTGTAATGTAATCTGTTTGGCATTTAACCTGTTGAGAATGTCACTGGGCGGGCTTATGTTGTTTTTCCGGGTCGGGCTGGGAGACTACGGAAGTGTATAATGCTGGTCACTGTAAACATGTTGCAGCCCGTATATGTTCAGTAAAGGTTGTGAAAGCAGATCTCAAACGCGCAGAGTTGCCCCGCGGCTTCTTATGTGAGCAGACAAAGAGACGAGCGCTCCTCGAGTAAACGGAAGGCGAGATAGTAACCACGGCAACGGCTTCTGTGTGTTACTGTATTCCTTCATAGCCTAGCTTAACGTAAAACTAGTAAAAAAACTAGTAAAACTAGAGTAATGTGCGATATGTTTAGAAGCCTGTCAATCAACTGTGTTTGTACTTGTGATTGGCAGAGAGTTAAGAGGGATGGTTGTTATTATTCCTGCTAGGCCTAAGGGAGGGTGTGTGTGAGGAGAGAGAGGTGAGACAGCGAGTTGGGGAGTTGAAGCTAGCGTGTACCGTTGGGTGACGGCAGAGTTTTTTTGGCGTTGGCTACGGCCCACAGTAGCCTGTATTTTGTTCAGAAATAAAGAACGAGCAAAACCAGCTATCTTCATTTGAAGGACGCTATAATATATTTCAGGGAAGTCACAGACGGCGAGGACCAGTCTCTCATCCATCTTCTTTTTGTGCTGCGTGTCGCGTAGGCTACAGAAAGTTCAAGTCAATTCAACTTTGACAGGGGCGGGCACGTGCGTGAGACGAGCACAACCATGACAGTTTCATGGGAACACGCCCGTATGACCCACAAATTGACAGAAAGCAATCTGCAAATGTGCAATAACTGTTTTGTGTGTAGAAGTAATGCTGTGTTTTTGTGGATATGATTTTACACATCACAAATGTAAAAATACATATTTGTAGATAGTGAAATATTTGCGGATCATAGTACACATTTGTGAATTGTGTTCTGTGGGTTACAAATATTAAAGTCCAATAAAATCTTCCAAAACCGGCACATACTGTAAAGAGGAAGAAAAACTAAATTCTGTGGCCTGGCTGATCTATTTTCTGAAACTAATGCTGATTCTGCACAGGATATGCTCATTATTTCCAAAACCCTGGTGTCTGTTGGTTTGGTTTGGCTAGTCACTATTAATTCAAACCAAATCACCCCATAACAAAGTTAATCTAAGTCAGGCTGAACTCAGCTGGTGGAGAGAGAATATTTCCACTGTACCTCTCTTTCTTCCATATTAATCTGATCCTCTTTTGCCTCTTTCATCCACCTTGAAATTGATTGGCAAACTTATCACTCTGGGCTTACACACTCTGTACCACACGTTGCAACTGAAAATTGGACTTCCTCACAAACAGACCCCAGATAGTTTGGATCCTTAACTTTAGAGCCCAGGTCCAGTATTGGACAATGAAATGAAGGATGTGCTCAGCCCCCTCCTTTTCATGATGTACACCCACGATTGCAACCCCCAACAGAAACAGACACAGTTGTATTTCTTAAGGAATCTTAAGAAGGCAAAATTCCTGTGCCAAGTTCTTATTAACTTTTATAGAGGAGCAATAGAAAGCATCCTGACCGGAATCACAGACTGGCATGGGATGTGCACGGCCCAGGACAGAAGGGCTCTGCAGTGGGTGATTATATATATAACTTAGATTTCATTGGATCATTTTGACAGAAAGCAGAAGGCAAAAGAGCAGTAAATCAAAACATTGTTACTGGGCAGCATTGTAACATCCACAACGTTCATATATCAAACTTCATATTTACTGAAGGCTTGCCACCTTCAACTAAACCTCTCTAAGACTGAACTCTTGGTCATTCCAGCCAAGCAATCTATCCACCATAACATCAAACTACAAATTGACTCCTCAACCATCACTCCAACCAGGGTGGTGAGAAACTTGGGTGTCATGATTGATGACCAGCTGTCCTTTGCAGACCATGTTGCTGCTGTCTCTCGGTCATGCCCCTTTGCTCTATACAACATAAGGAAAATTAGGCCCTACCTCACTCAGTACGCCACCCAGCTTCTGGTACATGCCATGGTTATCTCTCGCCTCGACTATTGCAATGCCCTCTTAGCAAGTCTTCTAGCTTGTGCGGTGAAACCCTTACAAATGGTTCAGCCCAAAAGGACTCATGTCACTCCATTGCTGTGTGACCTCCACTGGCTCCCAGTGGCCTCCAGAATCAAATTCAAGTCTCTAATGCTGGCATACAGAGTGACTACTGGGTCTGCACCCATATACCTAAACTCCATAATACAAACTTACGTTCCTTCTCGGCCACTACGTTCCTACAACGAACGCCGCCTGGCTCTGCCATCCCTTCACACAAAGCAATCTCAGTCCCGGCTGTTCTCATCTGTGACACCACGATGGTGGAACGAGCTACCATCAGAGCAGGGGCGTTCCTCTCTAACTTCAAGAAGCTCTTGAAAACTCATCTCTTCTGAGAACACTTCCTCTTATAACACCTCTCCTAACTCCTAACATCTAACATGCACTTCCTGTGCTCTTCTTCTTCTATCCCCTTACAATTATCTCGTATTGAATGCACTTTTTTGTATTGATTGCACTTTTTTGTTAACTCTTTCTTCCTTCCCTAGGTATTTACCCCATTGATGTGATATGTACTATGAGCTCTTACTAGTATGTATTGTCAGTTGTAGATCTGTAGTTGATGCTCTTTTGATGCTTGTATGTTGTTCCTCAAATGTAAGTTGCTTTGGATAAAAGCGTCTGCCAAATGAGTAAATGTAAATATTAATGATCATGTACAATGGGGTTTTGTACAATGGGGTTTTGTACATTACTACATCATTTGCATTTAAGTTTCTATGTTTGGAATAGAGCAAAAGGAAGGGTAATTCCATTTTTTTGTGTATCATTTTAACATTTCTGTATATAACATTTATTTTTTGTGAGTAGCACAAATGAAAATACACAGTTTATACAAGCCTGTGCAAATAAATGTACCTTATAACCTTGTTTTCATTCCCTTCGAATTCAGCCATGTCATCATGCAAATTTAAAATGTAATTATTTTTCGTGTTTAAAGTTACGTGCTCTTTACATTTTTGTGGAAGCGACTTTGAAATTATTTCTTAAAAGGGCTTATACTGTATGTAACATCACCTGTTGCAACATATACAGTAAATACAAATTTTCATATTTGGTATGTAATACTGTACTGTAATTATTGCTTGTGTTTTTTTTATGTGGTTCTTACATGTCAACCACTACCACATTCATGTTGTGAAAATTAAACTTCCATGCACTGTGAATATTGTTTAATCTAAAAATGTAATGCTGGCTGCAGACACAAGCCTGTCCAAATTTGTCTTATTTCACACTCCTCACACCCATTTTATCTGGTCCTGTTGCGGTCTAAGACAATTTCCTCTGAGGTTCAAGCCGTGATTCCTCAAGTATTAGAAGCTGACACTGAGTTCACTTCAAAAGACACTGGCTTTGATTTCTCCACATGTAGAAGTAGTCTGCTTGAGTTTGGAGGGTGCTTTCTTTCATTAGCGTCTTTCCAAAAAAAAAAAATCAATAAAAATAATTGCAGAAGTCTAATGAATAGATTAAACTGTGTGTTCATCTGTTCTGACATAAGCCGCTAATGTGACAATACCTGGATAACTAGTTATGTGCAGTGGTAACCTGCATTTCTTCCAAGTGTTAGCATATCATTAGCTAACTGCGTTTTTATGTGGGTCACTTGTTGCATTACAGTCTGTAAGTGCCTTTTTACATCAACAGGAAATGAAACGGTGGGATTTATGAATGACATTATGTGAGGAAGCCGAAAACGTAAACAGAAAACACTGCTCTTACCATTTACAATCACCGCTAATTAATGTCCTCTCTCATCCCACACTGCATCATCAATAGGTCACTTTCTCACACAGACCCTCAAAAAGGTCCTTGAGTTCAGTTTTAACTTCCTCCCATCCCCACATTAAATGAACAAAATGAAGTGGAATGGAAACTGAAATTGTGATGCCACTGGACCATCTGTGCTGACTGCTCTGAATTTGCCATGTCAGCACAGTTAGTCTGATATCAGATATCACTGGTTATGGCTGAATCTGACCTTAAGTCAGGCTTAAAGGTGGACGTCATGACCCAAACATCAGGTCAGTCTCCCTCTCCTCCTCCCCTTGCTTTAGAGTATGACCTCACCATAAGGAGAGAGGCTTTTTCCAGCTGTCGCCAATGTTTTCTACACATGCCTCCTTGCTCCCTCGGTCCTCTTTTTTCATCTGCTCTATACTCCACACTGCTCCACTCTATTTCTCCTCTTCTCTGTCTCCCTCTTTTCGCTTCTCATCCCACTCCTTTCACAGGTTTTGGTGGAGCCACATGTTTACTTCTCTCCTTATTCCCAGACTCTTCCTGCCTCTCATTTTTGTTCTTGTAGATTATTTTTATTTTATTAAGTAATCTCGGAGAAACTTCCTGCTAATCCATTTAATGTTTCATAAATGTTTATGTTCTCCTTGTCTTCCTTAAAAGGTTTTTAAAGGAGTAATTTTGGGGACAAAGAGATGTTCCTGCTGTCAGTGACAATTGTGTCCACTTTGTGTGCTTGTCCAGGATCTTGAGGGAGCATTTAGGGGAGAAGGAGGTGCAGCTTTCCTTAACGTTTGATGCTGTGGACGAGACAGACCTGGCCAACTACACCTGTTACGTGGAGAACCACATAGGGAAGCGCAGCGGGAGTGCTATACTGCAGAAGAAAGGTAGTTTACTCTCTCTTTGTCTTTCTCTCCCTTCCTCCAATTGTTGTTAGACAGAATTTAAGAAGTGCCTCAAATGTAGAGAAAACCAGCCATTATTATTTTTCATGTAACTCTTGGCAAGAAATCATACAAGTATATTTCCTAAAATGTTAAACATTTACTCTAATCACATTAAACATTAACTAAAGTAAAACTTGTTTCTATCCACAGATAATTTACTGTCAAACAGACAAGAAAACACGTAGTCAAGTTCTGGATTTAAAGCTTCCACAGTACATTGTCCCAAAAGCAGTCCTTTATTTTTTTACCCTGACTTACTAAAAATAAAACCGTATCTGCTCTAGTTATCTGGGACGTATTCTATTTCCCTTTAAGATTCTGTTAACAAGGAAGCTCAGGAGCTGATGCTACTTTTATGACTCAGTAAATATTTGTGGATGTCAACAGCTTCTGACATAATTAAGACTTTAAAGGTGTGCTGTGATCAAGAAGAATTTGGGTAGCTGCTCTTGAAGAGCTGACAGAAAGAAAATAGTACCACATATATAGACTCTCATACAGGCCAACAGAAAATGCAACTGAAAAGATGTAACAGTATTGTGATTGACAGCTGATCTCCAGAAAGTGTGGTGAAAAAAACACCACAGCAAAGAGTGCTGAGCAACACAGATGGAGACAAAATAAAAAACACAGGATCTCATAGTTACCGCTTTGAATATATTCAGCTGAAAAATGCATGAGGGCACAGTTCCCTTTGTAAAACATTTGCAGCAGTCCTGCGGTATCTTGCCTACCATCTGATGAGCAGAGAGAACGGGCCTGGTTGAGTCAGAGGCCAGAACCCAGGGAAGCCTAGTGAGACAAAGAGAAAGAGAATAGCCGAATGGCGCTGGAGGAGGAGACGAATTGTCTTTGTTACCTCAAATCTCGGTGGAAGAGAGAGCCGCTTGAATGCCCGGTATATGAAATAAATGTATGTAATGCAGAAAAGCAGGGACAGCGAAAATTGGGGGAATGTGGAAAGAGATAAACAGGCACAGAGACAGCGGGAGACAGAACGAGGCAAGAAAATTGAGAACAAGGAAGAAATAATATGCGGACCGAGAGATGAAGATAGGGAAGGTGAGGGGTGTACAAGGAAATCGGGAGAGGCGAAGTGAAGAGAAAAAGAGAAAAGAAGAGACATCGGGGGAGAGAGGAGGACTAAAAACAGGTCTGTCTCTCTCCCTGCCTGACTCCTGCTGAATGCCCTGGGTGTCACATCTATCTTACTATACTTAACTAGCACCCTAGGGACTCTCACACACAAGCACAAGCACACACACATATACACACACGCCTCCAGAGGGGGTCAGGATGGGAAATGTAGGGTCGTAATTACTTCACACTGTAATTACCTGGATGAACAGTGTGTGCGTGTGTGCGTGTGTGTGTGTGCGCGCTCGCGAAGATTTACACTAAAGCAAAAGGCTGCATTGCTTTGCAGCATTTTCCTCTTATGTGTGTGATCAGACCTGATGCATTTACACAGAAACACATACCCTCCCCTCATGGGAGGCATTAAGTGTAATGGGTTTGTTTAAAAGCACAGTCGTGTATTTCAGACAGCACACTTTACCATACACACATGCAGTATAAAGGAGTGGAATACTCGAGAAGCTAGAACTTCAAACAGGTATCAGTATATGCTGAAAGTATCCCTGTCAGCCCTGCCAACAGCAGCAGAGTGTTTTTACATTTACATTTATTCATTTAGCTGACGCATTTATCCAGAGCGACTCCCAATTGCTATCCGTCTGGAGCAACGATGGGTTAAGTGTCATGCTCAGGGACACATTAGTGGATGGGTCTCTCACACCAAAGGCATATGTTTTATCCATTGCACCATCGCCACCTCTGTGTGTAGATGCTCTGTCACCTTCAAATGAGATCTCCTCAACCCCTTGACGCCAGAATTTATTACTAACTTTACTTTGTTTTCATTTGCTTTCAAGCTGATGCTAAATTAAGTCGAGATTGTTAATTAGTCTATAGAACATAAAAAAATAAATGATTTCAGGTATGATGTAGGTATGATGCAAATTAGCGAGAACAGGCAAAAATGAGAAACCAGTGCTTGCAAAAGGTTCCCAGGTACATACTGTACATGCACAAAGAGGCATTGGGGGAATACAAACGCTATCTCGGCTGCAGTCTGAATGGAAGTGGTGTAATGCGAATCTGTGCAGCGTAAAGGGGTTAAAATCAAGCAAAATATGTGTGAGTCCTCTTTAGGATGTCCGTGTACTGTATGTGTTGTGCACCTACCTGCTTCCTTTTGATTCAAACTGAAGTGGACTTTGAACGTCATTCTAAAACACACTCATGTCTTCCTTCTCCTTCATGTCTCTTTATCATACTTTTCCTGCCTCCCTTTGCCTCCCATTTATTTGAGTATTGGCACAGAGCATGTACAGTACAGCACGGTATTGGGTTGCAGCAACTTTTGTACAATCCACATCTCAATTGTCCCAAAGCTTAAAACTCCTCAGTATCTGCTTCTCCTTATCTACATCTCCTGCTCTGTGATCAGAAAAGATTTACAGGATATAATAGGAGGAGATAATAGCTTTTACCTGAGTCCCCATTCACCAGTGTAATTCACCACCTACAGCACAGTTTCAGTGCAATTATTCTGTCTATGTGCAAAGTAGTTGAGCAAATCAGCAGGCACCAAGATTTAATTTTTTATTTGAGCAAACTTTATGTTATTATCCTCCCTAAAACACCAGTGTATTTACAGATGCTAATAGAGAGTCAGCTGAAGAGGATTCATTACGACAAAAACTCCACTGTCCTTGCATGATTTTGAGAGAAAGTATAGGGATATTTTCAAATATATTTAAAACTTTGAGCAACAAATGACATTGCCTCTTTAAAAAAATATGTTAATTTTGGATCAGCCAACTTGGAGCAGAAACCAGTGCCTCAACAGACAGGACAATTAGGACAGGTTCTGAGGTGATGAGGAAGTAACAACAAAGCGCGACTTCAGAAGAAGACGCAATAGCATATGTAAATTTATCTTATCAGTAGGGAACGTTTATTTAAATATTTGTAATTGTAATACTTTCTTACTATGGCTAGTGGCCAACTATCATATATTACAGTCCACATATACAGTATCTGCACTAATCAGTGTTTTATTTTAACAATGGGTCACATATTTATGTGTAATATGAAACATTCACCTGGACCTGCAGAGAATTTTCACACAACTCTGCTGTATGGAGCGTTTTAGCATCTTCCAGCTCATTGTTTTGGTTTTATAGCTCAGAGCTTTACTTGTTGGTTCATTTGCCAGAACAACTTAACTATAAGAGCAATGTTGTGTTTATAGCTTGTTTTACTGCCATAAAAGGTGGCCAAAAAACTGTTACTTCTGCTTTAAAGCAGGCAGGCACTGGCGTTAAAGGGACACAGTTAATGTTTTGTTGCGTGTTCTCACCATGTCAAAGTTCACAAACTTCCAAATTTGTGAAGTAGGCCAGAGGCATCCGGTGTATTTTTAATGCAGAATTATTAAGCTGATTTGAGTATACTACATCTCTAATGTCGCTGACTGAATCACTAGCTTTTAGCAGTGGAGCAGTGTTGAGTGAAAGCCCTGTTGTCAGCTCAGTCATGATACACAGAAGTTCCTGTGTGGTAAAAAGCTTATTGAAAGACTACAACAGTCACAGCCGGTCATGATGTGATCTCTCTTTTGGAGACAGGTGGTTGCTGACAATTTAACCAAATAAAATGTGCTGAAATGGGCCAGCTTTTGTACTGAGATGAACAAAACTGTTCATCTCTATCCACAACAGACTGAACCTCAAGTTTAAGAGACTGAACTAAGCGATGTATTGAACAGTCATGCGTTAAAACTATATACACAGTCATAGACCATTAACCTTAGAAATGAACAAAACCATTCAAATGAGCAACATCATTTGTAATTTCCACATCTAACACAGGCTACTTTTTTAAAAGTTCACTAACCGGGCTAACTAGCTTGCAGACTGTTAAGGTGCCTCCAGGCCTGAAGCCTTGAAACTAATAGGGTCACATTCAGGCGCCCGGACACAACATGACAACCGAAACAAAGCACAAGTTATCCTAAGTTAGCACAAGTTATCAAAGCTTGATTTCATGCACTGTGTGTGTGATTGAATTAGGGTGTGCTTTCACCCTGCAATGACCCAAGGTAATGGGCTGATGCATCAATGTTGCACGCGTGCACTCACACAGACACACACACCTAGAGTACACACACCATACACATCCACTTATTGTAACTGACAGAGCAGAAAGAGCTGCCTTCAGCCACCATGACGAGAGTCTTACTAGAAAGAAAAATGGAGGAAGAAGGACTGAAAGAGAGGAGGGACAGACAGGGACTTGAGAAACACATAGTTTCTCTGACATCACTCAAAGGTTCCCGAAGTTGTGAGTTTGGGCCTCACCACAAGCTCCAATGTTGTTTGCTTCAACTAGAAGCAAAAAATAGAGATTTGGGCAGTGTAGTAAGGACACCACCAAACATTCCCTTTGACCCCATTTATACTTCATGCACCTTGGACCAATCGGATAGCTATTGTAACTAATGCCACTTTTGGCAAGCACAGACACATGAATAAAGGGATTTGGACCCAAGTGCAGAACACATGCAGTTCACATTTGAGTTTTCTTAATAAACATTATAAAGGTGAACATGTTTACATGATGTAGAGGCAGGCTACAGTCCAAAACAAAGAAAACACATCCAAGCTGGTCCATGCAATAACCCAAAGTCCAAAATAAATCCAAAAAAAAACAGGCACAGGAAATCGGGGAGGTGATTAACAATCCACAGGTGAAACCAAGTGGGGAGCAAACAATCACACACGCAGGAAAAACAAGCAGTAAGTGAAGTGACTAGAAACAAGAGGAGAGGAAAATACCAAAGTAAATCAGGAAACAAAAGAACAAAGGCTATG